CCCGGTCGCGAAATTCCGCCGGTCCTGTCGTACCTGCAGCGCGTAAGACGAACTATATGCGTGACCGAATACTCGTATAGAGTTCGAGACGGTGTTGAAACGTATTGCGAGGAATGTATACTCCGGTATTCGACAGCTGAGCGCGGATCGTGTCGACCAGTCGTAATACACTATCTGCAGATAGATGGAAAAGAGCTGTTACCAAAGTGTCACATATGTAAATACCCGTTGACGATCGCGCGACTGACAAACGAGTGTGAATTGTGCCCGGTAATGTACCCCGACCTCCTCCAATACATCAAACACAGCGGGCAGGATATCGATAACTTGGAAGACGCGATCATAATGACTCAAAACGAGGAGCGTCTCCCGTTCGGCACAATCATATCACCGCGTTTACTGAATTTCTCGCTCTCGCTACTGAAGCTGAAAGAGCGACAGAACTAAACAACCGCGAATTAAAAACCGAGAGATACTAAGGTCTCGGGTGTGCCTTATAACAAAGGAAAATTTGTTCCATATAAAATACCGTTCAGAAAAAAAAAATCGCGTAAAATAATGATCGGATATCAATAAAGAAGAAATTTTATTAGAAAATTCATTAGAAAAAGAAAAAAAAAATCTATAAAAGCTATTTAGAAAAAAAATCAAGAAAAAAATATTTTTGTGTTTTTCATTTTTTTTTCGTTCAAATATAACACGTAAGGACGCCATTCAGGCGCCGATAAACGCATAAGATCTCCCAGAAAAGGGACAGGGGGGAAATGATTAACTTTTGCTTTACGATAATTAATTTCCTGGCATCCTGCCTTCGCCGAATATTCTTAAAAAATTTACCTCACCATTCCGATCGCGCAATGGATAACACGAATAGTGACATTTCTCCTCCGCGGGAGGAAATGCGATCGCGCTCGCTAGAGGAGTTACAGAAAGAATACGAATCGGCTATCAGGAGCGCGAAGGCGCGAGAACTAGAATTAAACTCGCGCGCGGAAGCATTCAGGAATACAATGCGTAACGTCGCAGATGTACTAGCAGGGCTTCAAGGGCCGGATTTTGCTGCTTCAACTCACGTAGGGCCGATCCCTAGCGAAGGGCTGCCAGCTCTCAATATCACGGGATTTGGTAGCGGAGCAGGCGCGACTTCCAGTCCAGTGACAGGAACAACATTCGGTACCGCGTACCTGACCTACCCGAAATCTTACGTTCGTGACGCACTCGAGCTCGTGCCGAAATACGACGGTCACAACATTCCCGTATGGCAGTTCGCACGGGCGTGCAAAAGAGCGAGAGATTCGGTGCCGCAAATAGATGAAGCATTACTAGTGCGAATGCTGAGAAATAAGCTTTCGCACCATGCATATTTAGCGGTTGAGGACGAAATGCACCCCACCGTAAGCAAATTCATAGATACATTAAAGAAAACTTTCGGACCGAGCCGAAGTTCGAACTATTACAGAGGACAGCTTAGCATAGTTTTCAAGAAACCAAACGAACACATACTTGATTACATCGGGCGCATTAAAGATTTAAAGACCGCCATTGTCGAAGGCGACCAGACTAATTTTGATCGCACGCTAACTAACGCGGAAAGCTCCTCTATAGAATCTTATGCCTTAGAGGCCTTCTACGAGGGCTTGCCCCGCAACTATCGCGTTGAATTAAAGGCTGAAGGATATAGTACCTTCGCAGACGCATGCGCAAAGGTAATAACTATCCACAAGCGCCTCGAAAAAGAGGAAACTCGAAATAAAAGCAGCCGTAACGAATCAAATCCTCACGGTGTATCCGCGCCCGTGAGAATTCTACAACGCGACGCTACTGCCGCCGCTCCCACTCTCGCGAT